GAAGCCGTTCCACAAGACGTGCGGGACAGGAGACGGCCCGCGACTGCAGGGCCTGCGCCCCGACCGCCACCGCTCAGGGGCACAGGCGCCAGGCACAACGGAGGCGCCAGCGCCTCCCGCGGAGGTGGCAGGGCACAGCTTGGCCCCGACGGTACAGCATCTGCACGAGCATTGCGGGGGTAGCCCAGCTGGAAGCTACCATCCAAGGACAGACCGGCAGGCAGGGCGCGACTGTGCCGCCAACGAGACCAGTCACGCGGAAGAGATGGGCGATGTGGTCCTCGTGGGAGGCACAGCGGTGGACGTCACGGCCGTCGTGGACTTCGTGGCCTGAGCGGGATATGCGCTCCGTGCCCTCGTCATTTGCGTGTTGCAGCACGGCGTACTGGGTGCGCTGGAATGCTCCGACAGCTGGCAGCGGTGCACGCTACAACGCTGCAAAACCCGACCACCATAGCGGTCGCTCTGCCTGCAGATCAGATCGATGATCATGCCTACTGCTAGTCATGCCTTCGCCTCAGGCAGTCGGACAGTCGGCAGCGCAATCTCGAACTCATTTCGCTAATGCTGGCGCGTGGCACGTTCTGACAATCACGTGCTCTGCCGAGGGCAGAAGCGTATCTGGGGGGACAGCCGCGGGTTGCACCTTCGGCTATACATTCTCATTGGTTGCTCTGCCCATGGCTTTTTTGAAGGGAGAGGAGGAGTGGAAGCGGACACCGCAGCAAGATGACAACGTCGGCGACTCGGGTAATAAGCCACGAAGCTACATCCCATGCCGTGGCCTCGAGAAGTATTGAAGCGTCAAGCCACGAATAAAGGACGTCCTGTGAGCGATGGCTGTAAAAAGAAGGCTTTGGGCAGCAGCAGGCGCGCTTTCCTCTCTTTTTGATGTGCCCTTAAATGAAAATCGTGTGAGTAGCCTGGCGACTACAAAGGCAAAATGATTCCCCCTCATTGGGATTCACCACCGAAGCGTGCTGGAGGACTCCAACTCGTAACGCCGGCGGACGGAAGGACGAGAGCGTGGCTGGCTGTGATGCGCTGGAATACGACCGCACGAGGAAGACGACAAAAACAGGAGGGAGTAGGAAGAGAGGAGGGGAGGCAAGAGGTAGGGCGAGAAGGATGGAGGACGAAGGAGGAGCAGCAACGGGACGAAGAGGCGGGAAAACAGAGACGGGGAATGATTGGACCTCTTGCTACAAGGCAAACAAGTCAAACATATGCTTTGCCCCTTGTACAACGGTAACAGCGAACCAGCCTGATGTCTTCACTATCCCCCATTCCTCCACTCATGCACCTTGTTCTTCTCAGCGCTGTGCTCCCCACTGCAGTCCCCCTCCTCTCATCTCTCGCCTCCCCTATCCTCATCCTATCCACCCATGTCCCATCCTCCCGTCACCTTTCCTGTCCTCTCCACCTCTTGATACTACTCTTCATCCTCATCCTACTTACTCGTGCTACTTAACCTCCTGCTCCTCCTAAACCTCGTCCGTGTCATCCCACTCATATTCGTCATGATCCACATCCTCATCTTAGCCTCCTGTAACTCCTCCTCATCTTCTTCCTCCAGTTCTTCCTCGGCCTGCTCCTCATCACCCCTCCGCGCCGCTCCTCGCTTGTCGCTCTTCTCCTGTACTGCTCCCCTCATCCTCCGCCTATCCCTTCTTATCCCCACTTCATTATTGGTTTTCCCTTCCAGTGTCTTCATTCGATTGTCTCCTGTTCCCTGTCCCTGGCTTCGCTCACCACACCTCTTCTTCTCATCATCCTCCTCTTCGTCCTTCTAATCCTTATCCTCATTATCCTCATCCTCCTCCTCCTCACCCTCTTCCTCCTCCTCCTCACCCTCTTCTTCCTCCTCCTCCTCATGATCATCATAAACATCAGCATCAGCATCATCATCAGCATAAGCATCATCATCATCATCAGCGTCATCATCATCCTCATCAGCAGCATCATCAGCATAATCATCATCATCATCATCCTCATCATCATCATAATCATCATCATCTTCATCAGCATCATCATCGTCGTCATCATCAGAATCGTCAGAATCATCATGAACATCATCATCAGCAGCATCATCATCATCGTCATCATCAGCATCATCAGCAGTACTAGCATCACCATCCGAATCCTCATCAGCATAATAATCATCAGCATCATCATCAACATACACATCATGATCGCCATCATCATCATTAACATCATCATCACCACCACCACCATCAGCATCAGCATCATCAGCAGCATCATCACTATCATCACCATCATCATCAGCAGCATCATCAGCATCAGCATGGTCTTCAGCAGCAGCATCATCATCAACATCAGCATCAGCCTCATCATCATAATAATCACCATCAGCATCATCATCAGCATGCGTCCCTCTCCACAACAATCACTCATCCGTCTCCTCCTCCTCCTCTTCCTCCTCCTCCTCCATTCCTTTTCCTTATACATAACTTCTCCCTGTCGCACCCCGAGGCCACGTATTAGGGCGGGCTGGGCGTGTCGCCTGCGACTTCCTCACCAATTATGACTCTGAAGCTTAGAATTGGCAACAGTTTAACGGATGGAGGGCGGGTGGCTTTCAAAATGCGGCTCTCGCCTTAGCGCTGCGCACACTCGGTTTCAAAGTTTGCAAGAGCTTCACGGATTGAGGGCTGGTGGATTTCGAAAAATATGACTCTCACCTCAGCGCTGCGCACATTCGTTTAACAACTTGCAAGAGTGTCATAGATTGAGGGCGGGTGGTTTTCAAAATGTGGCTCTCGCATTAGCGTCCCGCACATTCGTTTTAACAATTTGCAAGAGTTTCACGGGTTGAGGGCGAGTGGTTTTCAATATGTGGCTCTCGCCTAACCGCGGCGCACGTTCGTTTAAAAAAATGGCACAGGTTTCACGGATTGAGAGCGGCTCCTGTTCCAAATGTGTCTCTCGCCTTAGCGCCGCGCACATTCGTTTACATAGTGTTCAGAAGTTTCACGTATTCCCTTCATCAACATGCCAGAAATGGTCTTGAAAGGATTCAGGATTATGCGGGTGTAGCAGTTAAGTTGACTCTCGTTGCTGAAGTCATAGGAATGGCGTCCTGGCACGGGTCACCAACAATCAGGTTGATCCGTGGCGTTAGAATCCCGATAACCATGTTTTGGCATGCTTCAGGGTCCTCAAACAGGTGTCTTCCAACGAGGCAGTTCCACCAATGGAAATGAACCCTTGTGTGGGGCCTATGAAGAGGGAGCTTGGAAGGAGGGTTTACTCCAACATCGTTGATGACGTTCTTGGGTTTACACTGGTCCTCCTCCTTCTCCTCCTCATCCTTCGCCTCCATATCCACTCCTCCTCATCCTCCTCCTCCTCCTCAACCTGATCCTCCTCCTCCTCCTCCTCCTCCTCCTCAACCTCATCCTCATTCTCCTCCGCCTCCTCCTCCTCCTCCTCCTCCTCCTCCTCCTCCTCCTCCTCCTCCTCCTCCCCCTCATCAGCATCATCATCATCATCATCATCATCATCATCATAATCATCATCATCATCATCATCATCATCATCGTCATCATCATCATCATCATCATCATCATCATCATCATCATCATCATCATCAGCATCAGCATCATCATCATCATCATCATCATCATCATCATCATCATCATCGTCATCGTCATCGTCATCGTCACCATCATCACCATCACCATCCCCATCACCATCACCATCATCATCATCATCATCATCATCATCATCATCATCATCATCATCATCATCATCATCATCATCATCATCATCATCATCATCATCATCATCATCATGCATCAGCATTATCATCATCGTCGTCCTCGTCATCATCATCAGCATCATCATCAGCAGCAGCATCATCATCGTCGTCGTCATAATCATAATCATCAGCATCATCATGAACATCATCAGCATTGTCAGCATCATCATCAGCATCACTATCATCATAATCATTATGATCAGCAGCATCAGCATCAGCATCATCAGCTTCAGCATTACCACAATTATCATTATCATAATCATCATGATCAGCAGCAGCATCAGCATCACCACCACCACCTTCGTCATCATCATCCGCATCCGCATCAGCATCAGCATCAGCATCATCACCAGCATCATCAGCATCGTCATCATCAGCATCATAATCATCATCGTCGTCATCAGCATCATCAGCATCAGCATCAGCATCAGAATCAGCATCGTCATAATCTGCATCATCATCATCAGCATCATCATCAGCATGATCGTCATCAGTATCCGTTCCCTCCCGAAGATGATAAGAACGGAGCCCGCCCCCCTCCGCGTGATGATATTTCAGACAAGAGGCCCAAGCTGCGTTTTGCGCTTGTTTGACGATCCAATTGATTTCGGTGTTTCAAGGTGGTTCTCCCGCTGCAGCGCGGGCCTCATTTTCGGATCAGCGCTTTGCCACCCGTCTTTCAGAATGGCGCTCTCGCCCCAGAGCGTGCCACATTTCTGGATCCGAGTCTAGCTTCATTGTGGTCCCCCGCCGTCCCCTGGCCCTCTCCTTCCACTCCAGTTCCTGCTGCTGCTGTTCGTCTCGCCCCAGCGAGGGCCACTTCTCTGACTCCAAGTCTTTCTTGATCGTGGCCAACCCCCTCATGTCCTCTCCTCCGCCTTCCTCTGTTCGTCAGGTTCTTCCCTATCGTTCCACTTTGGTTCCTGCTGCTGCTGCTGCTGCTGCTCGTCCTCGTCCGTTTCATCCCGCTCATCCTCCTGCGCACCCGCCACCTCCTCCTCCTCGTGTGCACACAGCTCCCCTTTCTCCGATTGCGCATGCCACGAAGTGGTCCTTCTGTGGGAGTCGCAGGTTGGTTATGAAACGCGTCCACGGATAATGAAAAATCAGCGCCATGGGAAGGGATTGGAGGGATGGAAAGGACGTCAGATTAGGCGCGAACGCACCCAGCTTGTCATCATCCCCCTCTCCTTCCCGCCCCGCTAAAACAAATCCAGTCCCTGGACGTACAGCGGCCAAGATCGCCCTCATCGGGCGCCGCCGCCCCGGCGCAGTGCCAGCCTGCGGAGATGAGAAAGACTCCAAGCGGCAGACGCGAGACGTACCAAATGGACACGGGCCCAAGATGCGTGCGTAGAATGAACCCGGCAATGTCCACCCTCCGCCTTCTCCCTCCGCCTGCTCCCTCCTCATCCTCCTTGCTTCCTCTTCCTTTTCTTCCTCCTCCTCCTCCCCATCCTTACCATCGCATGCGACTCCCCTTAACACTCCTGCTCCTCATTTCCCTGCTCCTGCTGATCATAATCATGTAGAGCAGCGGCAGCAGCCTCAGATCCCTGCTCATCGTCATTATCCCTCTCCTCCTCCCTCTCGTTCTCCTCTTCCTCAATCTCTCTCCGTCAAAATCCCCCCCCGTCGCACCACCCGACGTGTCGAAAGGACGGGCTGGGCGGTTCGGCCGAGACGTCACCACTGTTCCTGATCATGAGGCTAGCCATGTGGAATAGTTGCAAAGACAAAGAACTGGTCGTGTTCAGAAAATAGCTCTGGTCTTAGCGCCATAGCGCCGCTCAAATGTATTTCAAAACGTTCCAACGGCGATCAGATTCAAAGACGGATCCTTTTTCAATATCGGGTTCTTGCTTGAGAACTTCGTCAAAATATTCGCGCAGCAGCTGCAAGGACGGAGAAAGGGGGTTGTCGTTGGACACTTCTTTGAATTGCCTGATCCCGCCTCTTCGAAGTCCACATAGCTGGAAGGATGCAGCGCAGATGACAGGACTCTCGCCCGAATGGCAGGCCCATGTGACTCTCGTCGTTCCAGCAGGTGCTTCCCGTGGTGAGGAGGGATGCATGTAGGGACGTGGGAGACGACTTGGGACGGAACGGCGTGGGTCAGCATATTTGAAGCATCATGGGTCCTTGTATCCATCTTTGCCCTCATCACCCAACTTTCACCTCCGTAAATGTTTCCTCCCTTTTCGTCCTCATCATCGGAAAGCGGTCGAGGCCTCATATTCATCATTTTCTTCTGCTTCCCACCCACCCACCCCGCCTCTTCGTCCTCGACCTCCCCATCCTGCTGCGCCTCGTCCGCACCCGCTTCCACCTCCATATGCCCATCCTCATCACATCACGCGCAAACATGGCGAGCGTGCTACAGTCGACCCTCATGTCTCGCAAAGTCTCCAGACTCGCCAGCAGCCTCCCCCCAGTGCCAGGGGGCAACAGGCCTGCACCCCCAGGTTCGCCCTCACCGCATTAAACACGAATACACATGTACGGTTGCAGCGCAAACACCTGTATAAAATGCTGTAGATATAGACTATATATATACATATATATGTGTACGTATCTATATATACATACATACATACATACATACATACATACATACATACATACATACATACATACATACATACATACATACATACATACATACATACATACATACATACATACATACATACATATATACGTATATACATACATATATATATATATATATATCATGGATGAATACCGCCCCCCCCCGGCCCCTGGTGCCACACCTCTCCGCGTTCCGGGGAGCCTCCACAGCGACCCAGGAGGGCCCAAGACGACTCCCAGAAGCACCCAGAATGCGAAGGGATGATCCGAGACGCTCCCAAGCAGCCCAAGTCAGCCTTCCGACGGCTCTCGAAGCTCCCAAGTAACCTTCAAGAGACCCCAAAAGAGGTCCGACAGGCGTCCCTGGACGGCCCGAAGAGGCCAAAGTCGTAGATTGTCCATGGGTTGTTCGATGTTTTCGGCTTCTCGCGTTTTCGAGCTTCCAAAGGTCCAAGAGCGCCGAAGAGGCTCCCAAAACAGCCCCAAGACCACCCAAGAGACCCTCAGGACGGCCCCAAGACAGGCCAAGAAGGCTCCAAGACTGCCCAAGAGGCGCCCAGACAGCCCCAAACCACCCCAGAACAGGCCCAAGATGGGCCCAAGAGCAGGAGCAGGAGGCTTCCAGAGACCTCCGAAAGGCCTCGGGGACCCCCAAAAGGCCCCCAACACACCCCCGATCTCCGAGAGGCCCCGGAAAGACCCCGACGAGGCTCCAAGAACAGCCCGAGAAAGATGCGAGAAGCCGTTCCGAGAGAGCCCAAAAAGGGTAAAATCGCTGACCCCCCATAGTTTTGTAATGTTTTTCACCTTGTCGCATTTTCCCGCTTCCAACCCTCGAAAATCGAGGATTTCGAAAAGAAAAAGAAGAAATTCCCAGAATTCTTTCTTTTTTGAAACGTCTACTCGGGGGCCCCACACATCCTGTGACATCTGGCCGGTACCGCGCCTCCCGGCCTCCCGGAAAGAGACCCCAAGGCGCCGAAGGACAGCCCATAACCCAAAGGAGCCCCCAAAACGTAAAGAACGGCCGAACACGCTCCCGCGCAGCCCGAGACACCCTCCCGACGGCTCTACAGTACACGCCTCCAGGAGGCCTCCAGAAGACCCACGGGGTCCGGAAGATCCCACGCCCCCGAACGGCCCGGCAAACAAAACACGCGAGGCACAAACAAAAAAAACAACGCCGAACAGCGCCGAATAGCTGGAAAAAACACTGGAAATCCCACCAATTATTTTTACCAAGTTTGGCCGCCGGTCTGCCCTTGCACAAGAGACCGCAACGCAGACCCGCCTCACCTCCCGAAAAGGAACCCAGGAAGCGTTCGAGGGCCCCAAAGCATGAAATATTGAGAGGAAATGAACGATGTCTGCGCGTCCGCACTTCCCCTTCCATACGATCCCGAAGCTTGCGCAGCGCCTCCAAGGGAGCCCCAGGACGCGAGAAGCGACCAACATGAGTTCCCATGAGTAAGCCGATCAAGCCCACCTAGAGCATGAGCGCGCGCGAACCGCGCGCGATGGTTCTGGTACTTATCTAAATGAAAATCATGTGTATATATTTAAATACATACATACATACACACATACATGCATACATACATACATACAGACAGACAGACAAACAGACATACATACAGACACACACTAGAACCCGCTTTGGTTCTAGCCGAGGCCAAGGACAAATCGAGCCCAACTTCGTCGAAACGCGCCCGACAACAAAAAAAACTACGGAAGTCTCGGACGAACATAACAGAGCTCGCCCTTCGCTCGCGCTGCTCAGCGTCCTTGGCGATCGCGCTGCTCTCTGATCGACTAAAGTCCGCTCAAAAAGACCCCCAGGGGGCCAAAACCGAAAGACCTCGTCGAACCTCGGTCCTCGATTGATCAGTCCTCGACTGGCGCCTGCGACGACGAGCACGACGACGGCGGAGGCGACGACGACGACGGCGGCGACGATGATGACGACGACGGCGGCGGCGCTGACGACGGCAAGGGCGACGACGACGACGACGGCGGCGCCGCCGCCGTCGCCGTCGAGGTCGTCGCCGTCCCTGCGCGGGGGCGGGGGCCGCGGGGGGGGTCTGTTTTAACGGCTCCAGGGGGCCCTTCGAAAGCCCCTGGAGGCCCTGGGCGGTGGTGAACCTCTCGTCAGGAGGCTCTCGCGACGCGGGTCGGGACACGAGGAAGTCCGGGCCGGAGAAGGCGGAGGAGGCGGAGGAGGAGGAGGAGGAGGAGGAGAAGTCGGAGGGGGAGACGGGGAGTCAGACGCGGGGGGGGTGCCGGAACGCGCTCCGGGAGAGCGTTTCCGGAGCACGCTGGCCCAGTGGCCCTTGGCCGTAAGATCGACCACGGATGTGGGCAACGGGGCGTCGGGGGAGCGCTCGAGGCCGTGATGTGAGGGGGACAAGTTTGCGAAGGGTCGTGCGGTTGTGTGTCTGGGGCCCCTTGCATGCGCGTTGGGATCTCGCGGTTGGCCTCTCGGCGGCCTCCTGGAGGTCGTTTTGAAGTCCTGGGAACCGGGCAGGAGCGCGAGGCCGGCCTTGCATCCAGCAACCGGGCATGGGAATCAGCCTCGTCCTGGCAGGAGCCAGGTTGCGCGTGGACGATGCGATCGCAGGGTAGCGAGTTGGTCCCCGGCACAGATGCTGGTTGCGACAACGAGGAGCCTGCGCACGTCTCCACCGGCCCCATCGGTAGCCCTAGCGCGGCGAGGGGCAGCTGTTCCTCGCAGCGGTGGACAGCTTCGCGGGACGGGGTTCCACTCTGGGCATGGCTCGCGCATGGGGCTCCACGCTGCAGTTTCGATGTCGCGGCCCTCTCGAGCGGGCAGTGGCATGTCTGCCTCGTCTTCGTCGCAGTCCGCGGCGTCGGGGACATCGAGGCGGCGAACGACGAAGCGCGCCCCATCGGCGGGAGACAGGCGGGCGAGGCAGCGATTGACGCAGCCCCTGTAAGAGATCTGGCGAATCAGTCGCGCGGCCATGTCGCGGCGCGCGCTGCGCCCCATTACAGCGGCCCCCAATTCAGGGGGGGGCGCCGTCCGGGCGCGCCCGAGCCCAGGAGCGCAACCGCCGAGAACCAGGTCCATCGGTGTTCAGTGGTGGCCCCCCCTTCTCCGCTGAGCGGGCAGACTGCGCACTGTCCGCGGCTCGGTGGGAGTGCCAGGTTGGGAGGGCTGTCTTGTCTGAAATCACGTGCCGCGGTGCGTAGTCCTTCGGGAAGCTGCGAGTCGGGTCGCGCTGCCCAGAGAGGGATGGAGCGCGCCCAGTCACCCAGGAAGTTATGGCACCACGCAAGGCCGGCGTTCTGCGAGCCTACGGAATGCCAGACACAGTGAGCTTGTGCCATGTAGATGTGGCACTGGTGCGGAAGTCGGTCAGCAACCCGGCACCCCTCTCCAGCGCGCCGAGTCGGGCATCCCGCCGGCGAGAGAACGTAGCACGTGAGCGGCGGCCGTGCATGATGGGACTTGCCCATGCCACACCTATTCCCGCTGCCCAGCGTCTGCCGGCGCTGGTTTGGGCAAACCAGACGCGAGCCGAAAGCTCGCGTGGCTGACCCCAGGCGCCGACGTGGACTGCTCTGGCGGCGCTCTTGCTTAATAGGTCGGCAGGGCGATCCGCAATCTGCGGGGGCATTGCGGCGGCCGCGTCGCAAGCGATGACCGAGGAGCCAGGCATAGGGGCCCC